GTTCATCATTAGATGTCACCTGAAAATGGTATTATGTATTATGCAAATTAACATACATGGAATTCAACCAATCAGCTGTGTGTTATTTGTATATGTGGTTCTATCTGAAGCACACTTATAATAAAGTAATTTTCTTTCTGTAATTTTATTTTTTCTACCAGTTCCGCTTTTTTATCACAAATTCACAAAATAGTCCTGTTTATAGTCTGCACTTTTCGTCAGAAGATTGGGACAAAAATAGCTAATTTTTTTGAGTAAAAACTGAAAATTTACTCATATTTTGTCTGTTGGCTCCAAAATGAGGGTTCATTTCCAGAAATAATGAACTATATAAGAAAAAAAATACAGAAAAATTTGTGCAAGAAACTCTGGTGGTGAAAAGCTCATGTACTAAACACAAAATCCATACCAGATACTTAATAATGAAAGCACTTACTTGGCCAAACTACGACATCAGGAAGACGAGGTATCCGCCGTTCTCTTAACAAAAACAGTTCATGCACTGTGTGTCCTGAAAAAACACAAGTAATATTTAACAACACTAGAAGATAAAACATTTGTATCTTGTGTGTCATGGTTACTGTAGAATACTTTATTTTCGCTTGGAATTTACTTTCGCTATTTTTGCTGAAGGGATGCTTCTGTGAAAATAAAATCCAGCATATATACTTTTTTCCTATATTTCACATTCAACTCATCAAAAATCAGTGAAAATAGATTCCGTACAAAACAACCAAAAAGTCTTTTCAGCGAAAATTAATTCTAGCTAAAATAAAGTATTTTACAGTTTTCACATTTCAGCGGAGTTCCACACACCCTACTAAAACACCATTCAGACCAAAAACATGGAAGCAGCTCATCTCAATACCAACAAGCTACATTTTTCTGTTGCTAGCCAATTGTCCATATTCAAACACAACATAGTTGAACTCTGGTGACCTTGCCCTTTGTTATATAAAATTCCCTTTATCATAGTTTGTTTCAATATTAATATGCATTGTCATAATTAATTTTGAATACAAACAAGTTTTGGGATTGAACCAACAGTGGGGAATCAGTCTACCGAATGTCTTTAAAAGATGTAAATATCTTACAAAAACATTGGTGCCTTATTTGTTTAATTATTTTAAGGGACATAATTTCCAGCTTTATTCAAAGTAATTCAGATATTTTAGTATAAAAACAAATGCCTCATCTCAGAAAAAAGTCCTGCATTCAGACATGAATAGATTCATAAAACATGCAAGATAACAGAAATCTTAGCTGGCTTTTGTGCAAGTATTTTGTACAGGTTAATGATTCACTGAGACAAATATGAACTGCCTTGCCTCATTGTGTGACTACTGTATTATATGAAAAGTAAAAAAAAAACACCCTTTATGAATAGCTATCATGTTGCAAGCTCTGCTTTGTATGCAAATCAACTTAAATAGTTAGTTGGTGTCCAATGGAGGGAGAAGTCAACAGTACTGTTGCCTCCTGAGAATCTACATCTTCAAATACTGCAATCTTTGTTTTTGAAGTGTGTTTTTAAACTAGTATTATAAAAACTCTATCATTCTGTTATAATAGCTGAAACATATTCCTGTGAGTTTTCATTTGTCGAATGAACTGTTTGTCAAATACAGAATACATATATTTTAGTACAATTTTCTTTTCAAAATGTGGATGCAACGTTTTGCTTTTTATGTATATTTTATGTATTGTTTTATTTGATAAATTTGAACTAAACAGATTTTCTATTAGCTTCAGATCTTGAGTGCTTATATTGATTTTCTGACATCTTGTTTTCTGTAAAGATTTTATTGGTAGGTTTGCAAATATGTAAGACTGTGCAAAAAATCTCTCCATGAGTTGGTTTTGAAACCTAGTATAGTATTCCCATGGGATTTGGGGGATACATTACCAAGGATATTATTACAATATAAATGATTTGCTTCATTGAACACATACAACAATGCATATTTCCACTGAGATCAGTGACCTTTGATGTGTATCACCAGTGATCAGTCAAGTAGAAACAGTCAAAATATTTTATCAGATTTTCTCAATTTTTGCATGATATTTTCATACAGGACATCTGTTGTTCAAACTCAGGGAAGACTTTATACTGATGAATAAGGTGACCAAGTTTGATGAAGTTTGGAATAGAATTAGTAAAGTTATTATGCACACAATAACAATTATTAACGACGACGATAACAATCTTGACAACATTGACAAACAAAATTTTTCCCTTAATATACCTTTTCCTTCCATCTTTGATGGTACGGGCAAGGTAACAAGCAGCCTATCGGCTGAGATAGCTCCGCTGTTAGCAATGCACATTTCAATTAAAGAACTGAAGACATCATTAGAAAATGAACAATATGTATAGTATCAAAGCAATCAGACAGTTTTTAACAAGAAGTCGAAAATATCACTTTCTACCAAAAATGACAAAAATATTCACCAAAATTAGAGAATTGAAGATATCATCACGAAATGAACAAATCTGTGAAAGGTCTACATGTAGTATCTATATATGTAATATCAAAGCAATTGAATTTTTGGTTTTTAACAAGAAGTCAAAAATATCACTTTTTACCAAAAATTACAAAAATATTCACCAAAATTAGAGAATTGAAGATATCATCACGAAATGAACAAATCTGAGAGAGGTC